GCCATTTGTGTGTTTCCACAGGACGCCCCAGTTCCGGTTTGGGTTCCAGCTCGATTGACTCGTTCCTGTCCATCACCGCCTTCTGACGTTTCTGCAACCGCTGGAACGCTTACACGAGGCAACGGCTGCTAATCTTTCCTGCCAGCTTTCTTCTCACCTTTTAAGAAACTGGACGAGAGAATTTGATATTCTACAGTCTGACTTGTGAATTGCCATTGTCCAGATTAATTCTACACGGGTGGATCCTGTTGTTACTGAAACCCTGGCCACTTGGATTTGGAACATCACTTCCCATATTAAGGAATGGGTGGGAATGGTTGTGCTGATTCTGCTCTTGTGTGCAGGCTGTGCCCTATGCCTTTTTTCTTGTGTTGTTTGAGACGCCGCACTGAGTAAAATCGTGTGGCAATACATCAAGCCCTACTAGCCATGCAGAATGGTGACTCACCCATGGTATGGTTGAGCATGCTTCAACAGGCTTAGTTAAGAGCATGGACATCATGGCTCCTGCACCTCAGGCCATTATGACATTGCACTGAGTTCGAGCATGATGTGCCCGACTAGCCCTTGCACCTCGCAGGACTTGTCCATTGCACGCGAGAGGGTAGTCACTCTTATAACTGCCTTGTCGAGACATTGCTCTATACAACCACCGCGGTTGTAGCCCATGACGGGTAAGATAGACCCAGACAATTATCGGTCTAAGACAGGGACTACATCTAGCTACGCAGCCTCCCTATGACGGATCGTGCGCCTTGAGTCTACAACCTAAGACAGGCCCATACCAGCTTATTTTTTCTATTGTATAAGAAAGGGGGAGATGTTGCCAGCCGCATCTGCATGTACTGGCTACATGCCGTACCCAAAATGGCGCCGGCCGGAAAAGCCACACCTTGGTTCCTGGTGACGTAGCTTTCGTGGTACTGCGCAGGCGCCTAGCACATGCCCAGTGAGCTGAGGCGTGGACGGCGCATGAACACTGGGACTGACGAATCCAGTCGCCTAGGACCCTGCGTAATCATGACGCCGACCTATCATCGGCGGAGGCGGGGCCAGTCAGCACATAAGAGCAGACAGCCTGCCGGGATCTGGGCCTTTCCCTCCTCATCTTGGTGCGCGCAATAAAGACTACCGCAGAAGACTTCACTCGCGTCTGCCTCTTATCGCCGGACGATAAGAAACGTGGGCGCGACAGTGAGCCAGTCACCTCGGTGCTGTGGGAGGCATTCGGACAGAACCCGACTGAAGGAAGCTGCCACGAATAAATGTTGAAAAGAGATGTGTGTAGAATAGAAAGACAGCCTTCTGCCCATCAGAAAATAGTGAGGATTTGTAAAATGAAATCAATGATTTATTAACAACATTAAACCTGTGTTAGCTTTCGACGATAGAGTCATGGAATAGAATAACTGCACTCGGGGAGGCAGCTGATGGGTGTAACCATGACGATAGAGTCGTGAGAGAATAACTGTACTCGGGGAGGCAGCTGATGAGTGTAACCATGTTTTAGTAAGATGAAAAACAAGTTTGCCCAAATAAAGAGACGAAAAAGTAGAAAACCACGTTCTTTTGAAACTGATATTAGATAAAACTTACCCTGAAATGATTTAAGAATTATTTTTGCAGCATGATTTTTTTTCTTTTGAAAACAATTCATGAAGGATTTATGAAAAGCTGCATTTTCTATAATACATTTATTGTATACTTTATGAAAACTAATTCTACTAAGTTTTATTATGTTAAATCGTATCAGTAAAATTGTTATCCATTGTATATTGTGTTACTCAGTGTGCACAGTTAGAATATTCTTGCTAGATTAAAAAGAAAGTTTCTCTTTTATATGTGGACATTGTTTATGATTGATCTGATAAGGATTAGAAGAAGATATCTTGTAAAAATATTGTAATCAGTATAAGGCATACAAAGGTAATTGTGAAGAGATATTTTCCACAATGACAACCAGAAGATAATAATTCAAAGCTTCATGTTGTTGATTGTCATTGGTTGGATCTCTTGGCAGTGGCCTGCCATCGGGGTCGTATTGGTAGCTGACATGTATACATTTTAAACTACACTTGAATCTTGGAGATGAAGAGAGGTACTCTGCTATTCAATGGGCTGCTCCTTGATTGTTCCATCCGTTTCCTTCCTTCCCTACCACTTCCTCCCCTACCACTTCCTCCCCTACCCTGTAACCCCCATCTCCCTTCCTTCCTCCTCACCCCTACCATTTCCTCCCCTACCCTGTAACCCCCATCTCTCTTCCTTCCTCCCCACCCCCGTAACCCCATCTCCCTTCCTTTCTCCCCTACCACTTCCTCCCCTACCCTATAACCCCCATCTCCCTTCCTTTCTCCCCTACCACTTCCTCCCCTACCCTATAACCCCCATCTCCCTTTCTCCCCCACCCCGTAACCCCCATCTCCCTTCCTCCCCCACCCCTGTAATCCCCATCTCCCTTCCTTCCCTACCCTTGTAACTCCTGATCTCACTGCCTGCTTGAGATGCTGCTGTTTCCATGGGCAGTTGGTAATATGCCCAGTTAGAATGTTACTGTATAATTTGTCAGTTAGCTATCTGTCTCCATGAGTTATTTCTACCAGTTCTACTCTAGAATTGGAAGGATATGCAGATATATTTACATGTAGACTCCTCATGGTGTTTATAAAAATAGAATGATAGGGCAAAAGATCATTTACAAAGATATTGATTAGTTGAATAAGTTATTCTGTATGCTTATAATAGAATGTCATGCAACCAGTAAATGTTGTTACAGGTCTCCACTGATATAAAGTCATGTATGACATTATGAAACATAAGACATTGCAGAATCAGATGTGTACAACATTTTCATTTTAAAAATTGTGAAATATCAGCCACCAGATGATCTTGAGTGATCTACTAGATGCATTTGTCTGTGCCTTGCTAGTTTGTCAGTTGGAACTTGGGCTTATACTTTGTTCACTTAGGAGAGGTGGCATTGGAAAGTGGAAGCCACATAACCAACAACATAGCTGAATCGCCCTTCAGGGTGGCAGACCAGACAGTGGGTGCTTTGGGACAAAATGTGAGTCAGTCCAGTGGGAACTGCATCTGGCCAGTGGCCCAAGTGACACCTGCTCAGGTGACTTCTTGAGGACTGTCTACCATCAATTGACTGGGTAGACCATTTACAGAAGACAGGGCCTTGGGTATGCTGGCACGTCAGAGCGTCTCTGATGAATGCACTGGCACAGCTTAAAGGACGACAGCCAGGTCCCATAGCTGAGAAGGAAGCATGTAAGAAGCTGCTTCGGCAGCCTGTGTCAGATGTCACGGTGAGAGAGTCTAGGGGGAGGTCTGGGCCGCAGCCCCCTGCCAGAGCAGATCCTGGAGAATGCTGGATCCCTCCACACCATCAGATCTGAGCTGCAGGCTTCAGTGTGGCCCGGCCTAGCCAGCGTGGGTGCTTGTGCAAGAGACCACTAGGCCAGGGCTTGCTCTCGCTCTTTCTGCCTCTGGGTGACTTCTGACAGTCACGTGGGGGTTACTTTTGGGGTCACTCTTACCCATTTGATGATAGTAAATACCCACTCCCATTCTGTTGCATTTGCATTGTTCCTTTCAGTAGAGTAATGTACTAAAATAAAATTGATTAAACACTGCATATTCAATGTTTATATTTAAATCATGGTGCATTTTGGGTTTAAATTTTTTTCCTTAATATTGGTTAACACTTATGTGCAGTTTTAAAATTTTATTATTACTGTTTCTTATTGTTTTGTCTCAACGCATCCACATTTAGTCCTGTAATGTGTATGAGTTTCCTGTGTCCATCTCACAGATGGAATAATCTGAAGCTTTCTGGGATTGCAGTACTGCCTGGTCAATAGCACATACAGGATTGGAAAGGATGTGATTTTGACCCCAGAAACTTCTCTCTTTAACTATTGCACTTTGGCCCCGGTGTGATAGTTTAGTAGGTAAATCCTTGCCTTGGGCACACTGCAATTTCATATGGGCGCCGGTTCTAATCCTGGCTGCTCCACTTCCCATCCAGCTCCCTGCTTGTGGCCTGGGAAAGCAGTCGAGGATGGCCCAAAGCCTTGGGACCCTGCACCCCTGTGGGAGATCCGGAAGAGGTTCTAACTCCTGGCTCCTGGCTTCGGGTTCGCTCAGCTCTGTCTGCTGCTGCCACTTGGGGAGTGAAACAGTGGGTGGAAGAACTTTCTGTCTATGACTTTCTAATAGAAATAAATAACTGTTCAAAATTCCACAGTTAGCAATTTTGTGTGCCTCTGTTGGTGGGGCTTTCTCATTCTTTGCTTTTCAGCGTATGGCTACCGGTCCGCACCAAATCGTTGGTAGTACTCTCTCTGAGACGGTGTCTCCTGAGCTGGTGACACGTTTAGTAGCGTTGCTCCTCATATGCAGACATTGACAGGTGATGGCTCCAAGGTGCGCAGGCCTCAGTCCCAGTGGAGCTGGCAAGCCTCCTGGGTAGAGCTGCTGTCCTGCCCAGTCCTGCCCTGCTCGTTGGTTTGAGAAGTGAGTCTGTTTCTGCCTCTCTCACCCTCTCCCGCTCTATGCATGGATCTCACTCTGGCTTTTAAGTAAAAAGAAGAAAACATTTTGTAAAACCTGAAGTTATCTTGGAGATTAAGAAAAAAAAATGTTTAAAATTTGGCAAAAATGAAAAGTGCTTGTACTCTTGTGTCATCGTTTGGAATGCTTTTGGTGTTGAGTGAGCTGAGCAGAAAGGAGCTCAAGTTATGTCTTAGAAGGTATCAGAGTCCCATGCCTCACATGCTGGTCCAGCCGCAGCACCTGGTCACGTGTGCGGGCGCGCCTTCGGGTGGTGTATTCTCCAGGGACCCTTAGGTACACCAAGTTGGCTTTTTTTTTTTTTTTTGCTTTCCCTTTCATTATGCGCCAATCTAATTAATTACGTCTGACTTACAGGGGAGCATGGTTGATTGATTTTGTTTCGTGCAGGTAACTTATCTTTTTTATTTTTGTAGATCAATATGAAAGATAATAAAAATGCCAAGTATATTGAGAATCATATTTCATCAAATGACTTGAGAACCTTTGTATTTGAGAGTCGAGAAGATATGGAAGTTTTCCTCAAAGAGGCAAGTTCACCAACCTGACACTTGTTCACCTGGCACTTCTCAGTACTCGAATCTACCTTGAGCAGAGCCAGCAGAGGTGGTGCATCACTGCTGGACCTCTGTGTGCACATCAGTCAGTTCTGCTCTGTTCTTTCCTCTTTGCCATGATGTGGGTATGGACTTATTCTGTAAAAGCAAACTAGCCCATTAGCATCTGTAACATGTGAAAATAATCATTTGAAATTAGTATGGAAAATAGTTCTGGCCCGTTGCTTTAAGAGAAGGAAACACTGCAGTGATGTGCCTTTGGTTTTGCACATCTCTTTGGAAGTTATTAAATTGAGCTCAGTTTTTTTTAAAGGGGCAGTCTATTTGATGTTATTTCACAGTAATGTAAGTGGAACTTCCTTTCAAAGAATGAGAGTCTTGTATCTGTGTGGCAGATACTGCTGGTAGCTGAAGGCTGCTGTAGCCGTCAGGGCGGTCTGTGTGCTGCCTGACACCTGAGGCCAGAAGTTCCAATTCTGTGACCCCAGGGGCTGGTGGCCACGTCAGAGGCTGGTGGATTCAGAGCAGTGCTGTTACATAGTATAGTTAGGTATTTTTAAATGGGCTTTGAACTTTTGGCTTTTACAAAAAATGATTTGAGATGCAGAGTAACCAGAAGAAAAGGAAGGAAAGAATGAAAGATCTGCAAAGAAGAAACAGATCTTCTCTCAGCAGTTCTGTCCCCAATGGCTGCAGCAGCCAGAACTGGGCAAGTCTGGAGCCAGGAGCTTCTTCCAGGTCTCCCAAAGTCTTGGGCCATTTTTCACTGCTTGCTCACAGCATTGGCAGGGAGCTGGGTTGGAAGTGGGGCAGCTGGAACTCAAAACTGTTGCTCACCTGGGGTACCAGTGCTGCAGGTGAAGGTGGTCCTACTTGGCCGTATCACTGGCCCCTTTCCTTTCGTATTGTCAAATTTGGCAAACAGGAGAAAAGTTTTCAATGTGTCTAACTTTTCCAGTACATTTTTTTTTTCCCTATTTAATCTTTTCTGAGTCTCTTGGATCTCTCGGCATTGTTTCTCATACTGGATATTTCTCTTTAATTCTCTTTTGTTCCTTCTCGCTGAAATTCTCAAACATATAACCTCTTTTTTGTTTGCTTCCTTATTTTTTAATTTGTTTCATTTAATGATACAGTTCCATAGGCTCTGGGATTTCCTTTCTTCCTCCCCAACTTCCCTCCCCTTGGCGGGTTCCCCCGTATTATTACGGCAGTGTAGGCCTTCATAAACAGTCCTGAGTCTGTCATTCTGCTCTTTGCCCTTTTCCTGATGTGGCGCATAAACTCAGCTCGCGTCGTTCTCTCGCAGATGGCGCCTCTCTCCACCATCAGCGTATGTTTCTGGCATCTCTGATGACTTCAGATGATGTCTTTAAAGATTTGTCCAGGCTTGGCTGTTGGCCCAGCACTTCAGATGCCTCCTGGATTCCTTGTCAAAATGTTTGGGTTCAAGTCCCAGCTTGGCTCCCATTTCCAACTTCTTGACTAAATTTTACCCTGGGAGTCTGCAGACACTGGCTCATGGACGTGGGTCCCTGCCACCCGTGTGTGAGGTCAGGTTGAATTTGACTCAGATGTGACTGTTCCTGGGGAGTAAAACCAGCAGGTGAACTGTGTGTTTTCTCTGGGTGTCTCCTTCATCTTGTTACCTTTCACGTAAATAAAATTAGAACTTTTCTTAAGGTCTGGAATTTGTAAAAAGTTTAGCTCAGTGCAAGATGAGCTGCCAATATTTGGGCCATTTCTGTTCTGTATCATTTTGAAGTAAGTCTCATTCTGTTTGATCTGAAAGTATCTTAGTATATACCTCTGAAAGCAATGAACTTTAAAAAAAAATGTAGTTACAGTATCGTATCACAGTAAGTTTCTTAACATTACCATCAAATATCCAATGGTCCAATTTCTGATTGTCCCATGAATAGCAGTAGGAATATAGTAACTTTGGAAATCGTCTTCCTTTCTTCCTCTGTTTCTTTCTTTATTTGAAAGCCTGAGAGATATAGACAAACTTTAATCTCCCAACTGCTGGTTCGTTTCTCAAGTGCCCACAGTAGCTGGGACTGCAGCGACCAAAGCCAGGACCCAGGGGTTCAGTCCAGCTTGCCCCCAAGGGGGACAGTGATTCAGACACGTGAATCAGCACGCGCTGCCTGCCAGGGTATACGTTAGCAGAGAACTGGATCAGAGCCAGGACTTGAACCATGCACTCCCAGGGGGCTACAGGTCTCACTGGGGGATCACAGCTGCTGCCCAGACCTCCTGCCTCTGGAGGGCGTGTGTCCCAGTGTGTGCCTTTCTCATTCCTCAGGTCCATGACAATAAAAAGCTAATAGTGAATGCTGTCATTGCTCCCAGGAGCTCACACACAGCCAGGCTGCCCTCGAGACCGCTCAACAAACTCAAGTGAGTATTAAATCATTTGGTCTTTTAAATATGTCTGAATAAATTCTTTCTCACATATGTTTATTATAAGGTGTAGTGCTTTTAAAAAAAGAAAACTTTGTACCCAAGAGCATGAGTGTCCGTGTAGACGCGCCCTCCTGGTGTGTAGTTAGTGTCCGTGTATGATGGAGGTGTCGAGCAAAACTATATTGAACCGTTTACTACATAGCAGAAAAATAGTTGGTAAGCTAATGGGAAAATGAAGTGATAAATCATTGCTTTCTAAAGCTAAGTAATTTCTAAAGGACCAACTAAAAATTGTTATCTTAGCTCCATGTCTAAGTAGGAATTCAAAATATACAAGCAACAGAAGAAGTTAAAAAAAGCAATTTACTATTTAGAAGGTGGATAATATGAAATGTATTTAAATATTTAAAAAGCTGTGGCCACTTTTCAGTCTTGGCTTTTTTTCTGATTTCTCGAGAACTGAAGTCAAACTGAGTCTCACTTTTTCAGGCAATACGGGTTTATCTCTTACCTACGAGAGCTGTTCAATGCACCAGACCTGGTCATGAGCTACCTTTGCTACCAGTATCACATCCATGAAGTCCCCGTGGGAACCGAAAGGACGAGAGAACAGATCGAGCGGGTAGGAAGGCACTGGCTCACTGACACGAGTCTGTTTTATTGAAACGCCTTATCTTACTTAAAGTTCAGCCTGAAGTGGCCAGGAATTTTTAAAAGTATATTATCCTGCTATTTTTAATAAGACACCAATAGTGAGTCTTGGCTAATATTTGACGATAGGAGGGATATAGAGATAAGAATGGGTACTTATGTCTTTTAAGATAACTGAGTACTGTTTAGATTCTGCTTTGCTTAATAATCCTGTGTAAACCTATGTCAGATTCATACATTCCAGATTATCTTGCAGAAAAACTGTAGTTTAGAATGGAAGGCAGTGGGACCTGGTGTGGTAGCCTAGCGGCTCAACTCCTCGCTCTGCTTGTGCTGGGATCCCATATGGGCACTGATTCGTTTCCCAGCTGCGCAACTTCCCATCCAGCCCCCTGCCTGTGGCCTGGGAAAGCAGTTGAGGATGACTCAAGGCTTTGGGACCCTGCACCCCTGTGGGAGACCCGGAAGAGGTTCCTGGTTCCCGGCGTCGGATTGGCGCAGTACCGGCCGTTGCAGCTCACTTGGGGAATGAATCATCGGACGGAAGATCTTCCTCTCTGTCTCTCCTCCTCTCTGTATATCTGACTTTCCATTAAATAAATAAATCTTTAAAAAAAGATTATATCTTACGCTACAAAACTCCTAAAAGATTTGAAAAAATTCAAACAATTTTAAATCTCCTTCGCATGAAAAATGTTTTCATTAAGTAGTTAACAAAATATATGGGAAGTGCTTGCGAAGCTGCATGTTTGGGCCGTAGAAATGAAGAGCGTGCACGAGGAGTACGGGCTCCCGCCGTTGTCTCAGTGATGGCATTAGCGGTGCTTGAAAGCATAACGTGTATCTAGAGTGCTTCGTACTTATCTAGACTCTGAACTAAACCTGCTTTGTGTTTGTAATTCTTTAGTCCTTTAAAACATGTTTTAATTGTTATTACATGTACTTTAACGTCAGTGCTTGTTTTGCATTGTAGGTAATACAAGAAACTCGACTGCAACAATTTTATACAGCAGAAGAAAACTATGTGGTGAAAACATCTTTCTATTCGAACAAGCTTATTTCCAGTAATACGGCCCTGAAAGAGGCCCAGTTCCTCACCGTGACTGTGGACCTGGAGCAGAGGAGGCATTTGGAGGAGCAGCTAAAGGTTGGTGAATTTGACTGGGCTGTTACACATGTGAGCTGTGTTTCAGATGTACTAACAGTTTTGAATTTCCATAGGAAATTACTATGAAGTTGCAGTCTGTGGAGTCAGAATTGACTGGCTTGTGTGAGAAAAGCAAGCTCCTGGAATGCAGAGATAATGACCTGAGACAGAAGAAGAAGGGGCTGCTTGAGAGAAAGACCAAGAAGAGGCAGCTGGAGCAGAAGATCAAGTCCAAGCAGGGAAGGTATTTTGCGGACTGTGTGGGGAGCGTGCGAAACCCTGAGCGCAGTGTCGTCTCTCTGGTGCCTGACCACATCCACACTAATGTTGAAGTAGTTTTTCATTAAACCCTGCTCGTCCTGCCCATGATTGTAAACGTGATTTTAGTCAGTATGTCAAGGCGAGAGGGGTGTCGAGTGGTGCTGTCTGCTGTCAGCTCCTCAGTCCTTGGGCACCTTTATGTGCCTAAAAGAACGGAGATCTCAAATCCTGCTTCTATGGATTGCAGCTGTTGCTGTTTACCACAATGTCCATGGTAGTGCTCATTTATCAGAAAATAGTAAACTTATTGTGTTTAACAGAAAATAGTTACGAAAAATAACTGTACCAAAAGTGTTGTCCAAAGAATGGAACTGTGTCAGGTTTCTGCAGCAATCCTCAGGTGGGGGCTGGAGGTTTCCCGGAGCTGCCTGTGTGTTCAGTGTGTGGTGTGTCCGGTGTGCGGTGAGATGGAGGAGTTGAGCCCTCACACAGAGCTGCCATTATGAAAAGGAGGAATACTGTGGAGACCTTTTAGATAGCTGTATTTACTCTTTTACCATCACAACAAAACTTGTGAAAATATAGTTTGTTAAAGTTTAATTACAGTATGGAATCTTAAGTCATGTCAGTGGACTTATGTTAGCATCCATTGTGGTTTACATTTTTTGAAAAGATTTATTTATTTATCTGAGAAGCATGGTGACAGAGGCAGGGACAGAGAGCATGAAGTTCTTCAGTATGCTCATTCACCCCCAAGATGGTTGCAACATTCAAGTCTGGGCCATGGACGCCACGGTCGCAGTAACTTGGAGCATCTTCACGGTCCCCCGAGGCACGTTAGCCGGAAGCTGAAGCAGAAGCAGGTAGCCCGACTCAGGCTGGTGCTCCAGTGTGGCACGTGAGCATTGCAGTCAGCAGCTGCATGTGCTGTGCCACAGTGGTGGCTTCCATGCGACGTGAATGGCGATCTGTCTTTTTTTTAACATGTATTTTAATTTTTACTAGAAGGACAGATTTACAAAGAGGAGAGAAAGATCTCACATCTGCTGGTTTACTCCCCATGTGGCCCTGAGGGTCAAAGCTGAGCCAATATGAACTAGGGCCCAGGAGCTTCTACCGGGTCTCCCATATGAGTGCAGGGTCCTAAGGCTTTGGGCCATCGAGTGTCTTAGACCACGAGCTGAGAGCTGGAAGGCCAGTGGAGCAATTGGGACACGAGCTGGCACCCTTATGGTGTAAAGGAAGAAGCATACCAACTAGGAGGTGCTAAGCCAACAGAAGCCCCTAAGTGAATGTTTTACCCATAATGCTTTTGTTACATCCTGCATTATAATATTATTTAAAGCATGTGGATAAATGATTCCATCAAAATTGTTAAGTTGGAAAGTTGTTGGGCTTTCTGCGTCAGATAACAAATTTTGTAGAATTCTGGTTTTTATCTAAAAGATTGAATTAATCAGTGGTAATAAATATCAGCAGCTCTGTTCGTTGAAGTGACAGGCTCACTTCATCTCTTCTTGGAGAAAGAAAAATGACCAAACACTCTGACTTATCTAGTTGTCATTTCTCAAGTAGAGATAGTATTCTAGGAGAAGCTTCTAATGCAGCTTCCAAATGGCTCAGCCCAGCAGTTGTCCTGGAGAGCCATTCCCCAGCTGCCCCCCAGCCATCCCCCAGCCTCTCCCCAGCCGCTCCTCAGGCAGACCCCAGCTGCCCCCCAGCCATCCCCCAGCCGCTCCCCAGCCTCTCCCCAGGCTCTCCCCAGCCGCTCCCCAGGTGTCCCCAGCTGCTCCCCAGGTGGTCCTGGCTTGCTGTTAGAAGGAAGCACTGAAGATGCTTCTCCCAGTGCGTGCTGACGAAGGGCTCAGTGGCTGCTGCTGCGCTGTGATCCTGCTCTGTTGATTAGCTTTGCCTTGTGCTGTTACTGGCCAGGACACAGAGCACAGTGAGAGGGGAGCCTAAGGCAGGCCTAGCCTCACGAATCGCCCTGAAACGCCAGTGGACATCCTAGGGCTTTGTGCACTGCGCTTGCGTGTCCGTGCCCAGTGAGTTTGAAATGGTAGGAAGCAGGTGCAGACAAAGCCGCCAGCTCTGGAGGAAAGCAGTAAGGGATAGAAGGTTTTGCTGATTTTGTAGAATAGGGTTTTGAATTTAGCTATGTTACAGAAATTGGAATGTATGTGATAGAATAAGAGCTAGTAGAATTTGTCGTATAGGGAAAAGTACTCTTTTTTTCGATGCCTTTCCCATATCCTGTCATGACACAGCTCAGTCCTTTTGGTTGTCACTGCTTTGTAACTGCTTGTCTGTTCTATAAACGTGGTGATTAGGACACATACCTTTAGTCACAGGTGGCCGTTCATTGGTTTGAATGGATATATGCTCACTTTGTTCTGCCTGCCTGTTAACTCTTACTCAAAGCATGAATTATGTACTTTGGTTGCATAGCAAATCTAACTTTCTAGAATTAATTTCAACTTTACACTTTTTTCTTGAATTTGAACTAATCATTTACTTCTCTTAAGTCTTGTACAAAGCACATAGCCTTTCTGGAGAAGCACTGTACATTTTTGCAGGAAAGCTGTTTAAAGCACCTGCTCTCACACACTGCGCTTTTCCTGCCTCTGTTCACTTTGGTCTCTGGCAGGACTTCCTAGCACTACTCTCAAGACTAGTTCAAGGGGTTTTTTTAGACTAGCTTTTATAATTATTCAGATTCTGTCTTGTTCGGTGCATTCCAGCTCTCGCCTCGCTCAGTCCTCGCGTGTTTCCTGCATTGTCATTCGCGTTTATCACTGCTTCCATCCTCCGCCCTGCACACCAGCTTCCCGTGCTAGCCCGGGCGCTGCCCCACCTCACGTCTGAGCGCCTTGGTCAGCGTGGAGCCCAGCCTTCTGCTGATGCAGACTCGGGAAGGCGGAGGGTAGCTGGCTGCTCACCAGGTCTCAGCTCCTGGTTAACACTCCGTCGGCTCACCAGGTCTCAGCTCCTGGCTAACACTCAGTCGGCTCACCAGGTCTCAGCTCCTGGTTAACACTCGGTCGGCTCACCAGGTCTCAGCTCCTGGTTAACACTCAGTCGGCTCACCAGGTCTCAGCTCCTGGTTAACACTCGGTCGGCTCACCAGGTCTCAGCTCCTGGTTAACACTCGGTCGGCTCACCAGGTCTCAGCTCCTGGTTAACACTCAGTCGGCTTTGTTCTTGGCCTTTGCAGGTGTTTGGCCAGTAAACTTGGGGACGACTTTGTCCTCAATCATTCCATCACTCTCTATCCCTTCCCTCCCCGAGTCCCTTCTGCTTCTGTGTAAATTAATGTTTTGCAAAAGGAACCTAATATTTTTAAATTATTGTGTTGTGCTTTATTTTCATTTTTTACCTAGTTGATCAAGGCTGTGTTTCATAGTAACAACAGAGAAGGCTTACATTTGTTAGTTATGGGCTAGCCGTTGTACTGAGTATGTTGTAGTCTTCACAGCCCCATAGGGAAGTACTCTTAATTTTTTTTCTAAGATGTATTTATTTTTTTACATTGTTATTGGAAAGTCAGATATACAGAGAGGACGAGATACTGAGAGAAAGATCTTCCGTCTGTTGGTTCACTCCCCAAGTGACTGCAACGGCTGGAGTTGAGCCAGTCAGGAGCCAGGAGATTCTTCCAGGTCTCCCACAGGGGTGCAGGGTCCCAAGGCTTTGGGCTGTCCTCGACTGCTTTCCCAGGCCACAGGCAGGGGCTGGATGGGAAGTGGGGCCGCCAGGACACAAACCAGTGCCCATTCAGGATCTCGGCACTTGCAAGGTGTGGACATTAGCCGCTGGACTAGCACTTCAGGCCCAGGGAGGTACTCTTACTTTCTGCAGTCCACAGATGAGGAAACCGAAGCATAGGAGACTGCTGTCCGTGTCTGACAGTGGCACTGCCATTGGAGCAGGCTGGAACACTGTCTAACCCTGCCCAGAGCTGCGGGCCCTGAGCGTCTGTAATCATGTCTGACTCTGAACCCTTCAATGTTGTGTCTGTTGTGCAGCTTAAAGCTGATGGAACAGGACACCTGCAACCTGAAAGAGGAAGAACAAAAAGTGGCCACCAAAATCAAAGAAATAAATATTCAAAAGGCAAAACTTGTTACTGAATTAACAAACCTAATGAAGGTAAGGGACATTTTCTTGATTTTAGCAATTTTTTATTGCAAGTAATTCAGATAGTCAAATCTATTTTTTTGTTGGTCTTTTTTTTTTTTTTCAAAAGTTAACTTTAGTTATTTATTTTAAAAGTAGCAAGAGAGAGAATGGCGGAGACAGGGTGGGAGGCACTCTGTCGGCAGATTGACTCCCTAAATGGCTGCATGACTGTGGCCTGCGGGCTGGCCTTGCCTGAGCCAGGAGCCCAGAACTTCTCCCAGCTCTACCACGTATGTGGGAGGGCCATCCTCAGCTGCTTTCCCAGGAGAGTTAGAGCAAAGCTGGGACACCAGCTGCTGCCCACATGGGGTGCTGGCATCACGGGCAGTGGCTTACCCTACTCTGCCACAGTGGTAGTCCCTGAGAGATGTTTTATTCCTTATTGGAGGGAAGATTGTGATGAAGAAATTTGGTGTTTTAGTTATATAGGTGAGAAATTTTTGTCATCAGTTTTAGTTTGCTCAGTTACTGAAATTTTCTCATTAGATTAAAAGCGTTGATTAGATTATTTTATTCCAGATAACTTTTAAAAAGCAGGAAGATTCTGTCAGAGTTGCCTTTGTGGCACTGCAGATTAAGCTGCCGGTTGGGCCCCTGGCTGTACAGCTGCTGGCTCGAGGGCTGGCCCCTGGCCGGAGCTGGCAATGGCTGACTTCTACTTTAATGCTATATAAGAGAATTTCATTCATGAGAGGGAATGTCATTTTTGTGGATTACATGATTTATAATTTAACTTATTTTAGAAGTTTCTCATAACTCTTAAACACAAAACTATTACGGATGTCCTCCTCCCCCCCCACTTAGATTTGTACTTCGTTGCACAAACAAAAAGTTGGTTTAATTCTTCAAAATACTACAATGATCTCTGAGAAGAATAAATTAGAATCGGATTATATGGCTGTGTCATCACAACTACGCCTCACTGAGGTAAGATGTGTGCTTTTATTTCTGGTGGAGATTCAAGCTTCCGGTCAGTTTGAAAACACTTCATATATATCCCCACTTGCAATACAGTTTGTTGTTGTATGCAGTTGAATTTACAAACTTAATGCATACAGCTGCTGACAACGTAAACTTGAGGTCACATTAGAGCAGCTCGGTAACCTTGACAATTGAATCTGTTAATATCTGTGAATTGATAAATATCAGATAGCGTGTAGCGGGAAGAAAGTATGATAGACCAGATTAATTTAGAACCCAGGAACGAACTGGTAATGAGATCCTTTGGATTTCTCAAATTATTTCCATAAAATAAAAATACAGTTAGCGTTATTGACATCCATAAACTAACGGACAGCATGTACCAACAAGTAACTTTTAAGGCCTCCTCATCATTTTCTTACAGTATTGCTACGATGTTGACCATTGGAAGTTAAGTGGTGAACTTGACTAGTTAAGATCTTAGACTGCTCTAATGAGGGAGGAGCTGCAGGGCCACAGGGCCACAGACTCTTCTTGCACTTCCGACCAGCTGGCTGTGGATCCAGAGGCCCATGACATTCTCAGAAACACCCTGGGTGAAGGACTGTAGCTTTGTTATAAAGGGTACAAATCAGAACTGTTCAGATGCAGAGAAGCCTGGAAGGAGGAAGCGCAGAGTCTGCCCCTTCCCCGTGGAGCAAAGTGTAGCCCTCCTGTCCCGTCTGTGTAGCCAACAAGGACACTCAACCAAGTTGTGTTGCACAGGGATTCTGTTGCGGCCCTATCATGCAGGCTGCTTGATTGGATCATTGTCCATGTGATTAAGGTCTGGTTCCAGTTCTTTCCCAGATTTCATGAATTTAGACTGATAACAGTTTCAGTGACCCAGCACTTTAATCATAGCGTTTATCTTTGTCACCATTGCCCACTGATATTTTGATTCATAGTCTTAGCATGAACTCAGATGTGATCCAAGGGACTGTGAATGACAAAGGCTCTGCTATCACTCAATTTCATGAGTTTTAGAATAAAAGTCAACTGAATTCCTTTTTGTGTGGCAGCTGGAAACTCTAAAATAGAAGTGGGTGAGTTATAGCAGCCCCAGTAGTAGCAGCAAGGCTATGGTGATATCACCAAGGAGGAGGTTAGAGAACCCGAGATCAGGATGCCCGGATGTTCTCATCTGCAGTGGGAGGAGGCCTTGGTTAAGTATAGAACGCTCAGCACACCAATCTGAGTGCTGGACGCTAGCAGGCAGCCTATGGACTCCAGAGAATTGGGAGAGTGCTGGAGCGGTCCGGCATTGCAAATTGGCAGGTCAATTGAACCTTCTTTGTGGAACAAAGCTAATTCTTGAGAAGTAGAGCCAAATGGTAGTTAATGGAGACAATAAAATGTGTACTGTGTTGTACCGTGCCTGACAGTGTTAACTAAAGCAGAACTCTAAAATGTGCAACAAGGGGAACAAGCAAGGTAAAATAGATTGTTTGCTGACTTGCCGTGTATACATATTATGGATAAATAAAAGAATATTGCTTCAGGTTAGGTGCTTTGGGAGAAGGAAATACAGGAGAATTTGAATAATATTTACAATAGGGACCCAGTAGATAGTACCTCTTACAGACCTGGTAGGGACATAACAATATTCTATGCATAATACCTCCGGTAATATTCTTATATCATGGATAACTTTTAGAATAAAAAATAAAATCCTTATTATATAACCCACCATAAACATACCAGGTGGCAGAGCAGTAAAATGCCTCACATTGAGTAGTATCAGCCCTTTATGCCCATGACCATCTGAGTACATCCACTTAAATGAATTCTGCCCTTGGTGCCCATGTCCATCTGAGTACATCTCAGTAAGAGAATTCTGCCCCTTGGCGCCCATGTCCATCTGAGTACATCCCAGTAAGAGGATTCTGCCCTTGGTGCCCATGTCCATCAGAGGACATCCATTTAAATGGATTCTGCCCCTTGGTGCCCATGTCCATGTGAGTACATCCAGTTAAATGGATTCTTCCCTTGGTCCCCAAGTCCCTCTGAGTACATCCAGTTAGATGGATTCAGCCCCTTGGTGCCCATGTCCATGTGAGTTGTTGAGTTAAATGTATTCCACCCCTTGGTGCACATATCCATCTGAATACATTCTGTTAATTGGATTCAGTGCTGGGTGCCCATGTCAATCTGAGTACATCCAGTTAAATGTATTTTTCCCCTTTTGTGCCCATGTCAATCTGTGATCTTTAGTTAAATGGATTCTGCCCCTTGGTGCCCATGTGCATCTGAGTACTTCTAGGCAAATGGGTCATGCCTCGTGGTGCCCATGTCCATCTCAATACATGCAGTTAAAAGGATTCTGTTCTCGGTTCCCATGTCCATCTGATTACATCCAGTTAAATGGATTCTTCCATTGGTGCCCAAGTCCATCTGAGTACATCCAGTTAAATGGATTCAGCCCCTTGATGCCCATGTCCATGTGAGTGCTTGAGTTAAATGGGTTCCACCCCTTGGTGCACATATCCATCTGAATACATTCTGTTAAATGGATTCAGTGCTGGGTGCCCATGTCAATCTGAGCACATCCAGTTATATTGATTCTGCCCCTTTCGTGCCCATGTCCATTGAGGACATCCCGTTAAATGGATTCTGCCCCTTGGTGCCCATGCCCATCTGCGTACATCCAGTGAAATGAATTCGGCCCCTTGATGCCCATGTCCAACTGAGTACATCCAGTTAAATGGATTCTGCCCCTTGGTGCCCATGTGCATTTGAATACATCCAGTTAAATGGACTCGGCCCCTTGGTGCCCATGTCCATCTGAGTACATCCAGTTTAATGGATTTTGCCCTTGGTGCCCATGGCCTTCTGAATGCATCCCAGTTAGAGGATTTAGCCGCTTGGTGCCCATGTCCATCTGAGTATTTGAGTTAAATTGATTCAGCCCCTTGGTGCCCATGTCCATCTGAGTGCATCCAGTTAAATGGATTCTGCCCTTGGTGCCCATGTCCATCTGCGTGCTTGAGTGCAATTCCCAACCCTGCTCCTGACTGACGCTCCTGCTAAGGTGCAATCTGGGAGGCATGAGGAGGTGACTAAGCTAGTGAAAATCCTGCACAGCATTACAATGAATCTCTGGCTCCAACTCGTGTGTTCTTCATGTAGCCTCTGTTCTTCTTCTTTACTTCTACTGTCCCACTTTCTACTCTTAAGATTTTACTTCTTCCTATCCCACCAAAATTCAGTTATAGAACACTGACTTTCAGAAGTGACAACTAAGGTTAGATATCGTTTATTTGAAATGTTTAACCTTAGAAGTGATTATGTTTTTTTGGTTTAATGGGTATTCGCATATTGTAATGAAATTATTGCCTGATGAGCCTGAAATTTCAATATAAAATTGGTGTTTTCACGGTACCCTATACACATCTCGCGGGCAGTTTTATGTAATGTGTTAGTATGCCTGGTTTGACTGTGGCCTGTCTCATCAAATCAGGTATTAACACCCAGAAGTTTAGGATTTTCGGATTACATATGGTCAAATTGCTATTTGCAGTTTAAAATTGACTGAATTAGAAGTTTTCATCTTGTGTGGTATTCTGAATTTCATATATTGGGCATTAAAATTTAAAGTAATGTGTTTTCAGACTTAAGAGTTGATGTTTGACTATTAGAAGTTTATGTACCATAAAGTTAATTCTATTCTTAATAGAAAGTGATTTTCGTTTAGTTGGACTCTTAAATGAACTTATAAAAATATTTAATGTTTCATTTTTAAAATTCTACAAGTAATTCTCACTTCTACCAGAAGAGGGCCTTTTTAGAACAGCTTTTCCTTGCTCCATGTCAAAGGTATTTCTGTGTATCTTCCTGTGTGGTTTTTGTGACAACTGAACTTCCTCAAAAAGCATTTCAGAGTGAAAATTTTACTTACTAATTTCTTCCATGACTTATGCCTACAAAGTAATCTTTTTTGAGCTGCTGATTTGGGCTGTTGGGAAGGCTGTAAATCTTGCCTTGTTCCCTGTGATGTCTTCAACAGATGGACTGTGTTGTTGATTAACTGCAGAAGGCTAGATTCCAAGGAGAAATACAAACTTTCTCACCAGCTTCACTTGATGGGACTCTAGTTGAGTACACCTTGTTTCTGCCGCTGCCAGCCAAAACGAAGGTTCAACGAGAACTATCGTTTAAAAAAAAAAGGCCTGGTTCAGTGGCTCAATTGGTTAATCCTCCCCTTTCCAGTGTAGGGATCCCATAAGGACACCAGTTTGTGTCTGAGCTGCTACACTTCCCGTTCAGCTCCCTCCCTGCTTGTGGCCTGGAAAAGCGAAAGAGGATGGCCCAAAGCCTTGGCACCCTGCACCCATGTGGGAGACACAAAAGAGGCTCCAGCCTCCTGGCTTCAAACTGGTTCAGCTCCAGCCATAATAGCCACTGATTCTTTCTGTAAACTTGACTTTGCAATAAAAATAATTACATCTTTTAAAAAAATTTATTGGAAAGTCAGATATAGAGAGGAGACAGAGAGAAAGATCTTCCACCACTGATTCACTCCCCAAGCAGCTGCAATGCCTGAGCTTCAGCAGACTGAATCCAGGAGCCTGAAGCCTCTTCTGGGTCTCCCACACAGTTGTCGTGTCCCAAGGCTTTGGGCCATCTTCGACTACTTTCCCACAAACAGGGAACTGGATGGGGAAGTAGGTAAGGCTGCTAGGATTAGAACTGGAGCCCATACAGAATCTTGGCGCATGCGAGGTGAGTGCTTTAGCAGCTAGGCTGCTGCGCTGGGCCCAGAATAACTAAATTTTTGTAATAAAAAACCAAAAATACAAACAGGTGCTATATGAAGAGGTATACATGAATTTAAAGAACATTTTATCATGTCACCAAGTAGAAAGAAATTGTTGAATGAGGTTTTGTGTTAACTCCAGAGCTTCAAAGATTAAAGTCATTGACAGTATATTTCCTGTAATGCTCTAATACTTCGCTTTCGCAAGCGTAAGAGGAACAGGAAGCGAACTAGGAGGTAGGAGGGTGTCTAGTTGCTGTGGAGCGTCCCTGAGTGTGCTGGTCCTCCGAGGGCAGTCCAGTGTTGCCGACTGGCAGGCCACACCGTTTTCTCCTCTCTGTCTCAGGCTGTGGGGACTGAGGAGTTCATGCGAGAAAACTCTTTTCAGTTATGTGTTCTCTAATTGAGCGAGTCTTGGAGACTCCTGTGCCTTGATGTTATTCATTGTTTATCCCTGGAATGCCTTTGTTGCTGCTGCTCTAGTGCTCTGTACAGTTCTCGTGGCTCCATGACCAGTCTCCTGTGCTGCACGTGGGCTGTGTTCAGACTCACGCCATCGAGGTGCATCGTGCCTGTCAGCAGGCCTGGGTAGAACTGTGACAGCCTCTAACTGCATGCATGTGCAGAGAGATGGTTTAGCTTTTTAGTCTTTTAAAGTATAAAATGGGACTAACATCATGGTACAGTGTTGTGAGGAATAGTAGTAACACTAGCAGTGATAGCAGAGTCTCACTGAAAGCCTGCAGCTGGCTGGGAGCCAGCAGTGAGTGAGAGCCTGCAGCTGGCTGGGAGCTGGCAATGAGAGCCTGCAGCTGGCTGGGAGCTGGCAGTGAGAGCCTGCAGCTGGCTGGGAGCCGGCAGTGAGAGCCTGCAGCTGGCTGGGAGCTGGCAGTGACTGTGACTTCTGCCTTGCCATGGGTCCTGTGTGATCTCCTTCCTCACCATCTCAGTCCAAGGTGGTGCAGGCACTACTAGGTGCCCGTTCATTGGTGAAGGCGTGGCTAGGTGGGTCAGTGCAGGGGAGCTGCGTGGGCAGCCGTTGGACACCGCTGAGCTGCCACATCTGAGGCTTTGTTAGAGCAGAACAGAACATGGCTTAGGGAGCGTTCGGAAGGTTCCCTTCAGAGATCTCAGGGAATCAAGAGTTGGGTTACTGTGTGCTACAATATTCCAAGGTTTAAGTTCAAATCAGCTTTTAAAGTATTTAAAGTATTTATGATTTGATATTTGGTTTCCCGTGAGCATGGTGTTGATGATTATTATAACCAGAACTCAGTGATGTATTTGGTGATGTAATAGCATAGCTCTGATTTACCTGTGACATTGAACTTGTACATTTCTTGTTCTTACTACAGCAGCGTTATGGTGAGCTGGATGAGAGCAGACAGAGGTTACTGCAGAAGTGCAAGGAGCTGATGAAGAGAGCCCGGCAGGTGTGCGACCTGGGTGCCGAGCAGACTGTGTCCCCCGAGTACCAGACAGTAAGTATGGCGGATGTGGACGCTCTGAGCAGGGCCCGGCGAGCGCGGCTAAAACACGGCAACTCAGTGTGGGGGGAAGTAGTTTTGCTTAACAGATTTTATGTGTTTCATTTACATTTGCCCACTATTTTTACTGCTTAATACTAAAAGTCTTAAAACACGGAACTCACTTTATAAAAACATATCTTAAGATTAGTTCCTTTGGGGAAAGTGGGCTTTTCACCCAAAGGTGTAAATTCCTGGGTAAATTTGAGTGATACCTGGGGTGAGAGGAAAGGTGAAAATGGTTTTCAGGAACTTGGGGGTTCAGCGGGGCTGGATATTCAACTGTAGCATCTCTGAAGAAAGGAGGAAAGAAAGGTTTTTTTCCGGTGTATTTTCTATTCCGACATAGCACTCAGTCAAGCTGGAGTCATGCCCTTCAGCCGGCATTCCAGCTGATGTGAGGAACCCTGGGCTTCGGGCTTCGTCTGTCACGTGGGGAGGTGAACGTGCCGCCGTGCTTACTCAGGAGAAAGGGGATACATAATTAGAAGTTAATTTGAAACTATTTGGTATTTTATTTTTTATTTTAATTTTACATATCTATTTCAGTAGATAATAAAGTCTCTACTAAAGATGAAAACAACTGGAAAAAAGAATAATGCAGATTATGATTTTCGTATTCTTAAATCCAAGAAGCCAAGATTGGAGCGATGGGAGACATAGCAGGGACTCGGTAGATGCCTCTAGAACTAACTGTGGGATGTATTCCCATGATAACACTAGATCTTTTGTGAAGTGCATTGTGTTAAGCATAAAATAAATAAAGTTTAGTATCATAGCTATTTTTTTCTGAATACAGGGTGATTCATCCTTGATAATTTCTTCTACTTTAGAAAATAATATTTCATTAAATAAATTGATTATTGCTGTGTAATAGATATTGAATGAGACAGACATATTTCCTCGTCTACTGAAATTTGCATTCTAGTAAGGAGGACGGGGCTGACCAAAACACAGAAAGCCGAATAGGGTATGTTCCGAGGTGCGAGATGCCAAGGAGAGGAGCGACGGGGTGAGAAGTTGAGAGAAGTCAGTGTGGCTGTTAGGCAATGGCATGCAGTGAGTTTGCTGATGCGTTTCAGGTTAGGGCCGTCTCAGTGGGAATGAAAACTGCACAGACAGAGAGCAAAACCCTCGAGGGGCGCGTGGAGATGAAGAGAATCCACAGAGGGAGGAGGAGAGCGCTCTTACTAACACTTGAGTTTAGACAAAGGTGTTCTGTGTGGAGAGCGGAGTGGGGTGGGACAAAGGACACCGTGCACTACGTTATTTCCTTGGCCCACCAACAATTTATTGTTTCATTGGTTGGCGTGGCAACCATGAAGGCCTGGAGAGAAGTTGACATACTTCAGGTTGCTTTCATTGACAAAGCCAACGAGATCTGTTGAGGTGTTGGAAGCGAGCAGGCTGAGGGAGAGAAATCCTCTGAGTGTTTCAGCTGAACGGGTAGTGCGGAGGGGTGGATCTTGCTTCCAGTGGGAAGTGGGCAAGTGGAATGAAGGTTCCTTTTGTGTGTGATGGAAGGTATCTAGCAGAGTTCCGTGAGGGTAACTGTGTGTCGGACACATACACCACAAGGCGACAAACACCGAGAGGTTAATGTCCTGTGTCAGCCTTTTCCAGGGACTCGTGTCTTGTAGTCCGTGGACGTTGCTGCTTGTGCTATGCAAAACGGTGTGTGCTGCCCTTCCCTCAGGACAGGCTCTGTTCCGACTGGTCTCTGTGGCGTGGGCTCAGAAGGTAGCACTGTGGTGACTTTCTGCTGGCACATTGGATTCTTAGGATGCTTTTTACTTCTTCATAAGTGCAGTGTCAAGTTCTAACTTCTTGCTCTCTTTCAATGCCCCACATACTCTGGACCCATTCTACCAATTCAGCAAGTACCTACCATTCCAAATGGACACAGCTCCTCACCCCCATGGTATGCAGTACTCGTTCTTTCTCCAACTTCTGCTCGCCCCTCCGCTTTGCTTGACCGCCTGAGTCTCCTGTAGCCTTGACTGCTCTGCTTTCCCAGATTCTGTAGTATGTGTTAGCTCCTGCTGACTTAATGCTCCCCAGTAACACATTGCCTTCCGTGCTGTGTAGTGTATCCACTCGGTCTTCTCTCTGAGTAAAGTTAAGCTTTTTGGAGGCACAAGATCCTGCTTATAATGACTCTGTCTCCCTGAGTGCTAGCATGTAGTTGGGCAGATAGCTACTTATTCAGCAGGTTATTGTTACTTATTTTAGTTATTTGAATGGAACTGCTTTTCCTTATAGTATCTATAGTAACTTTTTTCTTTTTGGTGTAGGCTTTCCAAGATCTTCCAAACACCTTGGATGAAATTGATGCTTTGTTGACCGAAGAAAGATCGAGAGCATCCTGCTTCACGGGCCTGAATCCTACAGTATGCCTCTTTGTGTGCTCCCGCCCCGTAGCTGATGTCACCTGCACACACGGTTCCCCTAGTGCTCGCCTCCCACTCTGTACTAGAGCGCTTGGTAATAATAAGCTAGACAGCAGGAACAATGTGCTTTAAATGCCAGAATCTGAATCGATTAGAATTTTAAATAGATTCCTGCTAAGGAACACAGTGTTCCGTGCTTTTTCTTTACAAAAAGAATACTTAGGCTGACCTGAAACCCTGCCATGTCTGCTTTCCCTCCTCCCCTCCCAGAGTATAGAAATGACGTTTGCAGTGTGTAATAAGAACATATTAATTGGATCCGTACAGTGCAACACAATTGGCATCTTCAGGTCATATTTGGATTTATGTAAGAATTTAAATAATTTTGTCCTTTGTTGGATTTGTGTTAAAGCAAGTGGTTGAAGAATACATGAAAAGAGAAGAAGAAATCGAGCAGTTAACTGAGGAACTACAGGGAAAGAGAATTGAACTGGATAAATACAGGGAGAGCATCTCCCAGGTAATTGTTTAGCTTTTGTCTCTCTCTGTCATGTTTGTTGTTAATGGTACGAGAATATAGAATAATGCAAGATAGAGTGAATGCTCCTGGGGTAAAGGTGTGCACTCATTGAGCAGGTTAACACGGAAACAAAATGTAGTCTATATGAAGTCTTTTTTTTAACAGAGTGTAATACAATACTTCCCTTAAATTATGTTTATGTTACTTTTATTTTTAGGTAAAAGAAAGGTGGCTTAATCCTTTAAAGGAGCTGGTAGAAAAAATTAATGAAAAATTCAGCAATTTTTTTAGTTCTATGCAATGTGCTGGTGAAGTGGATCTCCATACAGAAAATGAGGTAAAATTATACTTGAAATGTATTCTGGGTAGGCAATTTTAATTATGTACTAAAAGCAAATTATTTAGTTATTTTGCATTTGTAAATTATTTAGTTATTTTGCGTTTGTTTCTGAAGACTTTGCTTACTAGAAAATTACTCAAAGGAAGAAATGCCTGTAGGATTCCATTAGGGTCATTTTTTTTTCTTTTCCTGTTTTAAATCAGTGACTAATACCTTACTAGTAACTCCTTATGTTTCTGTTTTGAGTAGTGGCTGCTCATCTGTGTTGGACAAAGGCATTACTCTGTAAAGCAACCATTGTTGAAGGAGGAAGAGTTGTAAGCTAGCTAACATAACTGAAACACACTTAGGAAACCAATGTGCTTTTTAAAATTTATTTATTCTATTCAAAAAGCAGAATTTACAGAGAGAGAAGGACAGTCGGGGAGACAGAATAATCCTCCAGTCAATGGTTCACTCCCCAAATGGCCATAACTAGTGACCTGAGCTGATCAGATCAGAGGCCAGGAGCCAGTAACCCTCTGCATCTCCCACATGGTGCAACGTGGCAAAGCCTTGGGCCATTCTTTGGTGCTTTCCCAGTCCATAAGCAGAGAGCTGCATTGGAAGGGAAGCAGCAGGGCCCGAACCAGTGCTGAAGTGGGCTGCTGGCACCATGGGGCAGGGGATTAGCATTCAACCAAAGACACAGGGAAAACCTGCCCTCAGCAGTGGAACCCAGAGCTGCTTTGCAGTGTCATGCAGCATGGTGTACCAGGTGTGCTTGTTGCCTTCACCTCTGGCTTACAAACCAGACATTCTGCTCTGAATGTGTTAGCTGTGCCTGGATCCATGGGATCTACCTGGAATGTGTTAGCTGTGCCTGAGTGGATCCTTGGGATCTACCTGGACTGTGTTAGCTGTGCCTGAGTGGATCCATGGGATCTACTCTGAATGTGTTAGCTGTGCCTGAGTGGATCCATGGGATCTTTACAGCTTTTGGACCGTAACTGCTTGGCTAATATTTTACTGCTTTACACGAGCTGGTACCGCTAAGTTTTAAGTTGTTTTTTCCTATTAAAAAAAAAAAAACTTTGGGCCCAGCGTGGTGGCGCAAGTGGTTAAGGTCCTCACCTTGCACGCCCGGGATCCCATATGGGCGCTGGTTCTAATCCCAGCAGCCCCACTTCCCTTCCAGCTCCCTGCCTGTGGCCCGGGAAAGCAGCAGAGGACAGCCCAAGGCTTTGGGACCCTGCACCCGCGTGGGAGACCCGGAAGAGGCTCCTGGCTTCGGTCCGGCATAGCATCGGCCATTGCGCTCACTTGGGGAGTGAATCATTGGACGGAAGATCTTCCTTTTTGTCTCTCCTCTCTGTATATCCGCCTTTCCAATGAAAAAATAATAAAAATAAATCTTAAAAAAAAAAAACTTATTTGAGGAGAGTGGAAAGGGATAGCCCTTTGCCTGTAGAACTGTGTTATGAAAAAGCAAAAATTCTAAAAAATAGAAATTTTCATTTGAAAGGTGCAGTTACAGAGAAACAGAGAGAGTTCTTGTGTCTGCTGGTTCATTCCCAGGGACTGCAGTGGTCAGGATTGGGCCAGGACGAAGCCAGGAGCTTGGACCCTGTGCAGGTTCCCCACCGGCTGCCGACTTGGGCTGCCTTCTGCCTTCCCGGGGCCATAAAGTTGAACAGTTGGGATTCTGCATCTGCAGCTGCCAAGCCCACTGCATCTGCTCTTGGAATTGATTATTCAGTCTCTTCAGCAAGGATTAAAGTAGCTGAAGAAACTGTCATTTTTCATCACTTTTTCAATGTTTTACAGGAAGACTATGACAAATACGGAATTCGTATTAGAGTCAAGTTTCGCAGTAGTACTCAGCTGCATGAATTAACTCCTCACCATCAAAGTGGAGGTGAAAGAAGTGTTTCTACTATGCTGTACCTGATGGCACTTCAAGAGCTGAACAGGTGTCCATTCAGAGTATTTGACCAAATTAACCAGGTAGAGCAATGGTTCTTTTGTTTTTAAGTCTTACTGTATGCTGTAGTAAGTTTAACTGCATTCAGTGTCTTTGTCCTTGTTTAGGGAATGGACCCCATCAATGAACGGAGAGTATTTGAAATCATTGTAAATACTGCCTGTAAAGAGAACACGTCTCAGTACTTCTTCATTACACCAAAGGTAGGCCCTAAGCGATCTAAAGTGTAACTCCAGTCTCCCCTGGGCTGACCCATCAGCTGACACCTCCCGGAAAGGCACTAAGAATACCGTAATAACACGTGTACTGATGAGGGGAGTGCGTTCCCATGAGAAGGGCGCATGCTATTCTGTAGGCGCGAGGAGCCCCCTTGGCCTGGGAGGTGCATCACTGCTGTGGGCTGGATTCCCACGGTACTGCATCAGGTGATGCTCACAGCACGGCAAGGTTGTGTTGGAGAGCTTCAGAGCACCTGTTAAGGATATACGCGTTTGAATGCATAGATGTACACTCAGAAGAGCGTAAGTGACATTTTGTCTGTTTCAATATAGCTCCTGCAGAATCTTCCTTACTCGGAGAAGATGACGGTGTTGTTTGTCTACAACGGGCCACACATGCTGGAGCCGAGCAAGTGGAACTTGAAGGCTTTCCAAAGACGGCGGCGGCGCATCACATTCACTCAGCCTGCTCAGTAAGAGGCAAAGGGAGGGAACTTTGGAATTTTCTGTAAAATTCTGTTTGTAAGTATGGATCAGCTGAATAAAAGTTAGGTAATTTGTTACAAGTTAAATATGGGTTATTTTTGGAAACCTCCTTCTAGATGCAAACAGGGTGATGAGCTGGACACCATGGCTTCTGGAACATTGTCTGGTGGTAAAAGTCTTTGGTTTGGGTTCAGTTTGATTTCTTTACGCTCTGTGTGTCATTGGATTCCCATTTTTGAAACATTTAATATTGCAGATCAAAGGTATATACATCAAGGGTGTCAGTCGTAAGAAGTGTACTTGCCACGGTGGCCTGGCTCAGCGAGGAGTGGTGTGGGCCGCTCAGCGCCCCGTGGTCTGTGTCTCGATTCCTCATTTCCTCCCAGTGTTACGTTTACATTTGAATTATTGATATGGACATGTCTAATGTATAGTAATAATTTATGACAAATTAGTCATTTCTTCCTGTTAAAAAAAGATTACTTTTTCTGCACTAGGAGATAAGAATTGTATAGGCCTTTAAGACAAGTTTTGCAAAACTTAATGCTACAATTGTATTGGTTTTTCAAAGGCAAAGAAAACACTGGGTTCAGAAATAGTAGCAAGACTTCCTTGAAAGGTCAAAGGTGGCCACTAAATGATGCAGAATATGGCCAAAGGGTCGACAGAGTATAATCAGGTGACAAGGGCTTTGTAAAGTTGGGAATTTTGTTTTTTAGTTTAAAGTCAATTGTATTTTACAAGTTAAATTTCTAGAAGCATTTTTATAATTTTTAGAAAGATTTTTCATAAGATTTCTTAGACTGGTTACTGCAGTTTATGTTTGAGATTTCTCAGCGCTGTGTACTGACGGGGGACGGGGCAGCACTGGTGGACTCAGAACCAAAATGCTGTTTGAGCATGAGTTTCTAGATCCTTCTTGCAGCGCGAATCTGCGCAGCAAGAGTCCTTCCAGCGTGAGAGAGCTGGAGGAGAAAAAATATGCATGTTTTGAGTTACACTAATTAAAAGTGCCAAACAAATTGTATTCTCTTAAAAAGGAAATCTTAAGGATGTGAGTCACTCCAGTCATGCCTTTCTCTGAGCAGTGGATCAGATCTGTACCAGATGTGACAAAGTATTTTTTCGACTTGCTCACCTGAATAAATTGAAAAATTATATTCAGTTCACGTTTGTATATTTTCAAATAGTCATTGAAATTTATTCTTATTGCGTGGCTAGACCCAAGCCCGGGCCGGGAAGAGGGGCGGGGCTGATGCTCGGGGACGTGACCCCTGGCAACATGGCTGCTGCCAGGGTCCCCAGGCTCGGCCAAGTTCGTCTCCCGGAATGCAACCAGCAGTCTTCACGCCCACTCGGAAGGCTGCTTCGGGGAGGCTGGACCCCCCACGCGTGGCCCTTTTCCGGCTTAGCGTGGTAGCACAGGTACAGCTAGCTGACACCTGGGCCAGTGGCGCTAGGGGTATGGCTAGACCCAAGCCTGGGCCAGGAAGAGGGGCGGGGCTGACGCTCGGGGACGTGACCCCTGGCAACATGGCTGCTGCCAGGGTCCCCAGGCTCAGCCAAGTTCATCTCCCAGAATGCAACCAGCAGTGTTCACGCCCACTCGGAAGGCTGCTTCAGGGCGGCCAGTGCGCCAGTTGGCGCCAGGCTTCGCCTGCTGGCCACCCTGCCAGGGAGCCCTGAGAAATTGGTTCTCTGTATGCTGCTCAAGACGGCTTCATGCTGAAGCTATAGCGTTTTGGGGACACCAAGCAACCCTAAAGATTTCCAACGGCTGTAAATCTCCCTCAGATGAATCTGCTGCTATCATGGTTTCACTCCATAAGTTCCGAATGATTGTAACTCCCAATATAATGCCAATTCCTTACGATACACAGTAACTGGGTGGGAACACAGAGAAATCTCTCATTTCCCTTGAAAAAGCTAGGAATCCACGTAGTGTAACCTGCAGCAACTAGATAAGTATCTTAAAGTTGATAGATCCAGACCAGCATTAGACAACAGCAAAAGCTAAAATGACACACAGGGGAATTAGGAACGACCCAAACAGTCTATTAACAAGTGGTCATATGCACAGAATAGGGGAGAACCCCAGAGCGGAACAGAGGGACTGGAGGAGGCTTATCCCCCACCCATAAGGACTCCCGGACTCCCACCAAGGTCTATCAGAATGGACACAAGAACGTCAACACAACTGCCAAAGAGAACACGGGGATCTGGAATGCCTCCGAATGCTGTGAACCCAGAGGACAGACACCCCCTCTCTTTGGACCAACTACACGAGATGGAAGAAGCCCGAGTCCTTCCACATAGGAACCAACGACATCAGAACAACAACTAGGAACCACGATTGGTCATCAGAACCAGAAGATCAATAAACTTCTGGCAGGACAGTGGGGGAGGAATCCTCTCCAGTCCTTACCTAGTTTCAGCTCTGGGCCTCCACCCCCTAGAAAGACCAACAAGGTTCCTCCTAAACCCCCCTTCCCCCCTACACACACACACACACTTACGCACACACTCATATACACACACTAATAGGATGAGATAACCAAAGAACAATAAAGATAGGTCATCAAGGACTCACTCATATACTATTAGATGGAACATAAAGAACAAGTACGCATTAACAAGGTATGAGAGATTTCCCTGCAACACCCCCCAAAATCGTTACACACCTCAATTGAGGAGGTGACATTGAAATAGTTGTAGAAGGTAATCAAGAAGTTACATGTAATTTTTACATATTGTCTACTCAATACTATGTCAGACATCTAATGTTTGCCTGGATTTAACCTGTAATTTATGCTTGGTTGATTGTTACTTTTTGAACCTGTCACTGATACTGTCTAAACCCAGAGGTGCGGAAGAATTGAACTTTTTTTTTTTTTTTTAGCATATTGTTCACTCAACACTATACCAATTAATCCCATAACATTGTATATCGACGCTGATGTTTTGTTGGGGGTTTTAACTGACCGGAACTTTACTCTGTTAGCTCTACCTTCAGACCAGAGAAGGTCTCCCCAAGAGGCCACTGAACTTATCTGGACAATAAGACGCTGGACTTTATGCTAGGTACATGCTCACAATGAAGGAATTTCAACTGAACTTGAACTGTGGTTATGCAGCAAGATGGAGCAATCCACTATGGGAGGAGGGGTGTGGGAGGGGCGGGGGGACTCCCCAGTGCTTATAAAACTATTTCACATAATACAATGTTAATAAAAAAAAAAGACAGTGAAAAAAAAAGAAATTTATTCTTATTACAATAATGAACAGTAGGTTTATGTTCTCTGAGACATTTTCTCTCTAAGGAGGTATTTTACCTTTTTGAATCTTTTTAAAAGCCTTCCTCTCTTAAACTAAGTATAATGCATGAAATATGAAAATATTTTAAGATCACACTTTTATCTAGTGCGAATAAGTCTTGTAAATATTGAAGAACTTGGTAACATGTTAGTAAGTTGAAGTTCCCAGATGTTTTCTACCCGACGTCTTTTATAATGTGTGCTTGGTGTGCTTTGTGTACTGTCTGAGTCATCTTACCTCTGCAGCATGACTATCAATGTGAAATAAACCTGAAGATTAAGCATGATCAAAAAGAAAATGGTCAGTTATATTTCAGTTTGTATATTCCACCAATTATTCCAAACCTTGTTTGTAAACATTTTTATTTTGCCACAGGACAAATCTAATAATCTGGTTTTTCATTAACTTTTGAGCTAAGAGGGCAAATTATGTGTCATTTTAACATTAAGGGATGAATCTGATAGAATATAGGTTCAGCCACTTAAAGTTCTTGTATTTTTAGCAAATGTTGACTTTTTTTCAAATTACGTACAAATTGTAAAAACCTCACATGGAAACCTGATTTGATGAATAACATAGTATTTAAAACATTAAATAGGGAGGTAACAGCAATTTTGATAACTAAATCTTCATTGATTTGCCTTTAAAATATTCTCTATATTTAAAGTAAAAGGAAATATTTCTGGCTTCTTTCTAATTGTTTTGAAATATGTATCTGTTTTCTCTGAACCTTTAGTAAGTGAAAACTGTAATTTCATCCTGTTGTGTGTGTATGCGTGTCACTGAAAAAATCTGGAAATGCTATTTCATTGGTAACAAATGCATATTTTCATATTCCTTTGGTGTGTATTCTGTAAAATGGGAATGCTTCTTTTATACTTGAAACCTTCTTAAGATGATTTTAGTTTCAGATTTACTAAAACACAAGTGTCCATCATTTACAAAACAGGATTTGTCAGTTTATTATCAGGTCGAAAATCAAATGGCTTGACTACCTGCAGAGAAATAAAATCTAAGAAGCAGTAGACACAGATGATAAGAAGATTCGAGAGAGCCAAAGAGGCTGAGGTAGCTTAATGGCAAGTAGAAGGTTTGGGACTGAAACGCGGAGGTAAACGTGCCCAGTAGCCAAGTCTGTCTGTGTCTTACCTCAGACTGTTGTCTGATTGGGAGTCCGAAAGACTTAGCAGTTGCTCATGAACAGGTCGCTGAACTAAGTCTCCACACTGATAGAGCGAGGGTCATTCCTCACTCACAGACTTGTCGGGAGGATCAGATCAGACACCTGTCGGGGAGGCACGTTGGCACTTCTCGTGTCTTCTTTTGTTTTCATTTGAAGGGTAGATAGATCTTTTCCATCTCAGGCCACTCCCCCAAGCATAACAACCAGAACTCTGGATCATATTTATCAAAAAATCTAGATACCAAGACTTTAAGCCCTTAGCAATACAGGTCAAGTTATTTTCATTTGCCTTGTAGCCTGTAAGTGTGTCAGTGAGGTGAGCTGCCCTGAGGATTTTTGCACCAATCACGTTATTTCCGTTTAGTTAATGCTGTGTAGCAGAATTTGTACATTGAGAGATTCTACCCTGTTGGTGATTCAGAGAGTGGCAGTGCGGTGGGCCTGTGTGACTGGGCCCTCGTAGATCACAGCTGTCTGGTGTTGGGGTCATCGCTCTGTCTTCGTGATGATAAAGTGACCCAACAGCACCCTTCTCCTGGTTACGGCCCGTCATGACGTGAGGCCTGCGTGCCTTTGCTTGTTGCTCTGGAGTCAGCTGCCAGTTTGCGGGGAGGTTTGGGTGCTTTGGGAAAGCCAGGTTTGTTAAATTCCCAAAAGGAAGAACAAAGGTGCTCTGCTTAGCTTCATTCCAAGCTGTGCTGGGGGACTTGGTGAAGCTGACAGTCTGAAACCAGGGCTGACTGCAGCCTGCCTGCATGAGAAAGTTCTGGCAAAGGTTAGCTATTTTTAGGCAGGTCAGAAGTGACTGAAATATGTTCTCTTTCCTCAAGTATGATTGCTTTATCTGTTTGACTGACATTTTGTCAGTGAATTTACATTTCATTTTGTGCAGTTTTCACGCTCGGATTCAGCGGCATGCAGCCGAGTGCGCGTGGAGGGGACGGAGGGCCCTGCAGCCATTCCTGCCAGAGGGTCCGTCAGGTGTGGCCAGAAGGATTATTTTGGTGAGTGTTGAGTTGCAGGGAGAAGAGTTCACGTGCCCAACAGTCTGCGAGCTGTCACTACTTTTTCTTTCCTTTTCTTTTTCTGTTTACTTTCATACATTAGATATTAAACTGAGCAGACGTCTTCCAGGTGGTTTAGGCTGTCCGTTTTTATGAATCATGAAAAGGAACCATTTGAGTAAGCAAGGCTTAGCATAGAAAAGCCTGATTTTTATTTTGTAACCTTGATGCTATAATGTATTTGCTGCATTATGCCCTGTGTGCGTTTTTAAATGTGGGTCCATGCCTAGATAAACTACAGCCTCTGTGTCAAAGGCGGATGGTGGTGGAGAGCCCCGATTCTCAGCCCTCCATCCTAAGAATGAACTGACTCCCCAGTGGGCTGCTAGCAGAGGAAGCCTTTCCTCCTCGCTGCAGCTAGCTCAGCCTTCACGCGTCCTGCTCCTGTCCCCGGCTGCTCCATGCCCTCTCGGAGGTAGCGTGCTGAGCACCTCGGCCCTGGTTTGTCTTCAGCGTCTCATTTCTCCACTTGAGTGTAAGTTCTCTGAAGGCACAGGCTTGGACATGTCCTCTGCCTTTTCAGAGCCTAGAAAACCACTGAGCACACTGGAAGCGGTAGCTGCAGCCTCATGATGCTCTTTTTCCCTGCGGGGATGTGAGCCTCCTGTGCAGTTGAACTCTTGTTCATA